TTTGACAAACATCTGGTCTGCACTACTCGTGTAAATCTCTGAACCAAATGCTGTATAAAATCAACACTTTACCCAGTTAACCCAATTGACGCGTTCAATAGAACGGTGTATAACACAATCACATTCTCTGGAGTGTGTGTGTGTGTGTGCGGGTCAGCACTTACGGGTCCACCTTTTGAGTTCTAGAATTCCAATTCGGGACAACATGCACGTGGCCCACACCATTGTTAGCAAATTCTTTATAGTTTTGCATACCAAAATTCACTTTAACTACAGAGTCGTACGTAATAATGACGTAAGTAATACGCGGGTGTTTTTCTTGGTATACGCGGAAGTGCTTGTTGGGTTGTGGTGGTGGTGACAAGTGGCAGTGATTTGGACAGAAACGGTGCGTTTGGACAGAGTTATTGGGGTTGCTGCCACCACGGTGAGACCGTGCTATCTACTTTCTTAACTAACACCTAATGACGATGGCGTTTTATAATTTATTCACGAAAGTCTGTGTAAGAAACCAAACCAAAACCAAAACCGAAGTATTTGTTTTGTTTGCAGAAATTTATGTATATATGTCTGTGTCTGCATGTTTGCACGAGATGTAATGGGTGGGGCAAGGTTGGTGGAGGGCCGTTCAGCTCGTTGAACACAAGGGAAAAGATAAACTAGTTATAATCAATCAAAGCTTTTTTCCATTAAGTTCTAACTTTTCAAATCATTGAATTTTGCTTCGTTTATGCCTAATTTGTCCTGGGTTTTGCAGTGGACTTTTCTGCAATATCCATCATTAATTAATTCCTTTTACATACAATGTGTCTGTGATGATAAGATTATGCGTGTAGATAACCTTTCTCTTCTTTCTTAAACATTTCTTCCAGAAAAGTTTCTAACTTTAATGCATTATGCTCACATTACACATTACGGACAGTTTCAGATTAAGTTCTATATCAATATGAAAGTAAGGAAGACGACCTATAACATAAATCTGTTGTGATTTGATAGTAAGCTTAATTGAATTTTTTAGGTTAATGATAGATTAATAATCAAGTAATCATATTGCAGATATCTCTAATCAGATTTTAGATGGAAAAGGTAATTTAATTATGGTAATCTAAACATTAGCAGACATTATCCAATACTGGAAATTAGTTCTAATAGTAGTTATCTCGAAGGGATGAAGTTTTCCACGCGTTGAGGGAAAAAATAAAGTCGAGGTTTGAAGTTTGCAGTGGAAATAGTTGGACTTTTGTAATTTTTAAGAATTTTGTTTCCCATTAAGAAAAAAAGTAACAATGTGGTAGAGCATGCATAATTTCACTTTACGTCATTTTTTGGAAAAAGAATGGGACCGTTAGATCATTCACACTACTTATATTAAAAAAAGTAAAATATTTTAATGTACTTTAAATATTTTAAACAATAAAGCAGTTTTAGTTTAAATATATGTAATAAATAAGTTTTAAGAGGGGTTTTCATAGTAGTGAGTAGGTGTTAAATTCTTTTATACAATTTTACCAAAATATATTAATGCTATAAATGATTAAATGTCTTTACTTTTACTTGTTGTTTATTGTATTATTATTTTTAATTTTTCTTGTTGTAATTATTTTTTGTCGACTTAGTCCGGCAATTTTTTTCCATTTTTTTCTTTTAAGTTTTTTTATTTCTTTGTGTAATAAAAAAATAACTTATTTATTATTATTTATAAGAGTAATCAAATATCTCTGATTGTTTCACATTATTTATAAGAATAATAAATTGGTTAACTTGAGATAATAAATTGCTTTTCAGAATATTATATGTGTGTTCTTGATTTACAAATGAGTTTTAGAATAATCAAATAATCAGTTATCTACAGAAATAATTGACTACCTTGTTTTTCATATTTTTTCTAGTATTTTCTCTAATGATTTATGATAGTGCATTCGGCCGTAATTCAGAATACGTTGATAACTTATATTTACACATTTTACTCTTTTAAATCAAATTTTAATTACTCTTTGATATTTTAAAAATAAGTTTTATAAATGACTGAAACACTAGATTACCAAGAATGTTTCGCTTTTAAATGTATACAATTAATTAATCACTACTGGAACCGAGCAATACAATTTAATTTTTTATATGATAAAGGAATAATATATAAACTTATAAAGAAACTTCAAAACAACGAGATTTTTTAGATAAACAAAGTGTTATTTTTTATAAGAACATTCTTCTTAATTTGATTTCATAAGATAATTTGATTATTATTTTTATGACTTATATATCATTTATATTTTTTTTTATGGAGTGTAACATTAGTATCTTATTCTAAATTGATTATTAAACGATATTTTTATTTTCTCGTCACTTTCAAAAGTAAAAATAAAACCTTCAAAATATATAAGTGTGATTTTTAAGTGGTATATTACTTAAAACGTTCATATGTTATAAACTCAACCCAAAACATTATAGAATAATTATATATTACTAATCACATGTCACACAACCAAATTTATATAAGTTACACAACTCAATACAAGCCTATAATATAACCTCACAATGGAAGAAAAGAAATTCAATAATTTAAAATTACCACATTTAATAAATTAAAAAGATCATATAAAAAGAGACATATGACATAAAGACATACGCACACATTTTAAGAAATAAATATATAAATATTTATGAATGGTTTATCAATAATTTGATAGTGGAATCATATTAACCCAAAAAAACTTTGATTAAGATAGACTTTTAATACTATATTATTCCGCTTATATATATTATAATTTGTTTAATTTTTCTAATCAATCTATAATGTACAACATTAAACAACATTATCCATATTATTAATTTTACTCTAATTAAGTTTGATCGAAATGTTAAGTGGATGGAAGGCAAAGATAAAAATTGTTTTTTATTAATTATGTTTTGTTGTAAAACTTGAGTTGAAAATTGCAAAGTTGTTGAGGTTGTTGATGAAGGAAGGAATGAGCATCATCAATTGTCCTTCCTAAAAGGAATGATATTGAATGTTGGTTGTTACTATTAATTATACCATTAGTCCTTCCAATTTTCTTTATTACTTCCATTTATTATCATTCGTCACCCTTTTCTCTTTTCTCTTTTTCTCTTCCCTTCTATTTAATTAATTACCTCTTCCAATCAATTAAATATTTTCTTTCTTCCTTTTTGCTGTCTCGGTTGATATATATAAAAAAAGTTTATAATGTTTTTGAGTATTTTAATACTTTTAGGCATTGAATATATATTTTTTATTCTTGTCCGTTAAAAATTGAAATTTATTACTTTTATTCATTTACTATACCAATTCTTAATATATTTTTAATAATTTCTTTTTCTGCAATTTGCATTTATGTAAACCTTTTGTCACTATTCTCTTTTTCATTTATTATTTTCCATTTTATTTTTGTTTTGATTCCTTCATTATTCTATCATTAACAATAAAAATAATTAAAATATGATTCCTCAAAAGAAATACATAAATTATTAGTTATAGTTAATATAACACGATCCAATTATCTAAATATTTTTGTATCATTATGAATGCATTAAATTTATTATTCAATTATAAACAAACTTACGTAGACAAAAAATTAGATTTATTAAAAGACATTGTACAAAAATCGACTTCAAATCTTAAAGAGACAGTTAATAATTATGAAAATTATAACATTATTGCAAGAATATTTGTTCATTCCTCTCATTCTTCTTTAACTGCACCTTTATTATTTCATTTTATCTAGAATAAAGGATCATGCTACTTAACTTTCTTCGCCCTTGGACACGTTTTTGGCTGTCAAATTTTCTCCTCCATTTTCAAATCAAAATACTTTTTTTTTTACTGCAGCTTGGACTCACTTACATGAAAAGTGAGAACCAACAGCGTAAAACTCCAAATCAACAACGTTATTATGCATTTGTTTGGAGCAAACAAAAACATATGCATGTCATTCACAGACCCAAAACAAGACTTCCAATCTCACTGTTTTCTCAATTTTCTAATTTTTATCGACATTGAAGATGAAATAAGTTGAATATCGATACACAGTTATTGAGTGAGTTTTCGTCAGCTTATAAAATTCAGTATAGTAATAGTATTAGTTTCTATGACCCAAAAAGAAATGATCTTTTCGAATATTCCCATTAAATGTTATTTAAACCATAGTTTTTAACTGTATTCCTCTCTCTCCACTATTAGATTTATTAATATATAATATCTTTATTACCATAGTCATGTTTTGATATGTTCTAAGATATTATGCTTTAGTTTCTATAGGAAGGATATACTGATACAAACTGCTGTCGCTAATTGTTTATTACGCATGCGTGCAATTATTTCATCATTTTATCCGATACAATTCCGCAGTGAATTGTGGAAAACCCACTTATTTATACAAGAACTTCTATTACAATTACGTTAGTTAATGTGATGCAAGGCATCAGGTCATCATTAGAATTTCTTTATTAACAGTACAAAAACTTTGTATTATACATAAAATTAAGGTTAGATAACTTTAGCAAAGCTCGCGTCCATAAAATACTTTCAAAATAAGATTATATCAAATATTAGAAAACATTGCACGTACAAATTAATATTTGTAAATATATATGGACTAAATTCACTTCTCTTACTCGCCCTAGTATAAAAAGCAAACACTACTACAGATTCGAATAATGAGCATCTTAACGACCTTCATATGTAGTGTGATGCAGGTATAATGAATGTAAGCACCTGGCGTGTTTGAATTGATTTTTTAAGATCTTTAATTTTGAAATTGGAGTATGATAATAGCCATGGTGTCTCCAATTTGGCATGTACTTCTTCTGCAAATTAAGCATAGAGGTCTGTGAAAGTAAAAGCCACGTTGCGAGATTTTAAAAATGAGAATAATTATTAAGCTGTAAAAAATCCAAATACTACAAAATCTTCTACACAAAAGCACTATTGCCTTAAATCAAGAGTCAGGACACAGACTACATGACTTTCGATATTTTTGACACTTTCACCCTACAAATGAAAGCATCCCACAGCAATTCTTCCGCACTTCCAAATCTAGCAAGTTGTACAGTCTAACGTGAAGCTGCAATAGCCCAAGTTTACGGAGTCAATATACAAAACCAATTAACGATATGGATATATATGCTTTGGTGAGGGAGAGCAGTCTAAAACGACGCCACATCCCGAATACTGTTTAATTTATTATCTTAGAAAACAGAGGAAATAGTTGAGCTTGCGTAGGCACAGAAATTAGTAGTACTAAATACAGAGTTAAAACAAAGGTGCTTACTGGTGTCTATCGCCTAACCATTTGCGAGAGAGAAGACGCTGTCCGCAAAAACTTGCTCAGTCTTTAAATTCACCGTCAATGAAGTCCTGAAGTGCGATCATTTTGATGGAGTTGGCCTTCAAGCTCTGTATTGCTTCAGCGGTTGCCAGGGCTCCATTAACTGTTGTCACTATAGGAACCTTGTAATCCAAAGCCATCCTTCTCAGGGCCAGACCATCTATACGATCAAGTGCGTCGTCTGAGCTGGTTACCACCATCAGTTGAATGTCTCCATTGGCTATCATGTCACCAGCATGAGGCCTCCCTTCGTGCAACTTCAGCACTGGCTCCGCAGGGATATTAGCTAATTTAAGAACATGAGCGGTTCCACTGGTAGCAACAATCCTAAAACCATTCTCAACGAAAGCCTTTGCTATCTTCTGAAGATGCGGTTTTGTTAAGTCGTTTAAGCTAAGGAACACAGTACCAGAAAGTGGTAGCTTCTGGCCAGCAGCAATTTGAGCCTTCGCAAATGCAACATTATATGAAGGGTCAATACCCATAACCTCACCGGTACTTCGCATCTCGGGACTTAAAAACACATCACAGCCTGGGAACTTTGAGAAAGGAAGAACTGCTTCCTTGACTGACACATATTTAGGTATGACCTCTTTTGTAAACTGTAAATCATAGAGAGTCTTTCCAGACATGACGAGGGAAGCATATTTAGCCAATGGATGGCCAATTGCTTTTGATACAAATGGAACTGTACGAGAAGCACGAGGGTTGGCCTCAAGCAAAAATACATCCCCTGATGGAGTTATTGCATACTGACAATTCATGAGCCCGCATACATTCAATTGTTTTGCCAGGTTTACTGTCCACGACCTGATTGTGTCCAAGCAAGTTGATGGAACAGTTCTGGTTGGAATAGAGCAGGCAGAGTCACCAGAATGTATCCCAGCCTGTTCAATGTGCTCCATTATCCCACCAATGACCACATTGCCTTGTGAGTCAGCCAGTGCATCGACATCAATCTCACAGGCATCAGACAAATACTTGTCAATTAATACAGGGCGTTCTGGATCCACCTCAACAGCATTTTCAAGGTATGTCACCAGTTTATCATCACTATACACAATCTCCATTGCTCGGCCACCTAAAACATAAGAAGGGCGAACAACAACTGGATATCCAATGTCTGCTGCAATGGCAAGGGCATCAGTTTCACTCCTAGCTATTCCACCTTTAGGGTGTTCAATCTTTAGATCATGAAGCATCACATTGAACCTCTCTCTGTCCTCAGCAATATCTATGGAATCAGGAGATGTTCCCCAAATACGTACATGACCAACACCACTAGCACATGCAGGCTTTTGTTCATCTAGGTATTGTTGTAAGGGGAGAGATAACTTCAATGGTGTTTGACCTCCAAATTGTACAATGATACCATCAGGCCTTTCCAAATCAATAATGTTCAAAACATCTTCAACAGTCAAGGGTTCAAAGTATAGACGATCACTAGTGTCATAGTCTGTGGAGACTGTCTCTGGGTTTGAGTTCACCATGATTGTCTCATATCCTGCATCCTACAAAATAGTCAAAAGCGAAATATATTAAGAAAGTAGCAACTGCACAAAAATCAAAATAACCACATAGCTCAACTGTTAACAAAACATGGACGGGTTGAATGATTTTAAAACAAACACCAAGCTGATCTCTAAGACAGGGACACAATTTAAATTTTAAACTCAACATTTCATCATTAAGCCTGAATATCAGAATTTGGATCAATATAAAGCAGCATCAACACCATTCACACCCTAGTTAAAACTGTTCAAAGCAAAAAGGCCTGGAATCTAATTCAATTAATAAAAAAACCAAGAAAACAAACCTGAAGAGCAAAAGATGCATGACAACAACAGTAATCAAACTCAATCCCTTGCCCAATTCTATTTGGTCCTCCACCCAAAATTAAGACCTTCTTTCTTGTAGTGGGAGCCGACTCACATTCAAAATCATAAGAAGAATACATATAAGGAGTATTAGCCTCAAATTCTGCTGCACATGTATCAACTCGCTTATATGCCGGAGTAACTCCCAGAGACAATCGCCTATTGCGTACTTCTTTCTCACTAGATTTAGTTGCAAATGCTATCTGCTTATCACTAAAACCTCTTCTCTTCACCTCAAAGAAATCAACATTTGTCAAATCAGACAAATTGTGTGACAGCAAAAAACTTTCCACGTCAACCAGCTCCTTGAGCTGTGTGAGAAACCACTTGTCAATGTAACTCAGCTCAAAGATTTCATCAATGTGCATCCCTCGTTTCATTGCAGCATAGATGGCATGGATGCGCTCTGGGTTAGGAACTCGGAGGCTATACTTCAGTTGCTCCAAGTCATAGTTCAACTCCTTCACCTGGGAGCACCCCCATCCTGCGTATCCATATTCTAGAGAGCGTACTGCTTTTTGAAATGACTCTTGGAAGGTTCTCCCTACTGCCATTGCCTCTCCAACTGATTTCATCTGTGTCGTCAATATTGGCTGAGAACCAGGAAACTTCTCAAAAGCAAACCGAGGAATCTGCACCACAAAATCACGTGACAAAAGTAAATCTAATTTGTTTCCAAAAATGTTGCAAACAAAATACAAATTTGAAATTATATATTGTCATTGGCACATTGCGTATATATTCACATGTCCTGCTAACATTAATGTTAAATATTATAAACTCGACAAATGTTAATTACATGAGCAGTTGACTCATCACCTGAATAGAATTTAAAATAAAAAGGCATACGGCCAAGCCACATTGGTGCATATTTATATTTGATGATGGCCAGATCAACTACCAAATTGCTTACCTTAGTGACGACGTAATCAATAGATGGCTCAAAACTGGCAGGTGTCTTCTTTGTAATATCATTAGGAATTTGATCCAAAGAATACCCCACAGACAACTTCGCCGCCATTTTTGCAATGGGAAACCCAGTAGCCTTAGACGCCAAAGCTGAAGACCTGGAAACTCTGGGGTTCATCTCAATGACCATCACCTCACCATCCTCAGGATTAACGGCAAACTGCACATTAGACCCTCCGCACTCCACTCCGATCTCTCTAATTATAGCAATTGAATAATCCCTCAGCCGCTGGTACTCCTTATCCGTCAGAGTCTGTGCCGGAGCAACCGTAATAGAATCGCCAGTGTGAACCCCCATTGGATCAATATTCTCAATGGAACAAATGATAACAACGTTGTCAGCCAAATCCCTCATAACCTCAAGCTCATACTCCTTCCACCCCAGCAAAGACTTCTCAATCAAAACCTGGGTGGTCAAACTAGCAGCAAGCCCAGCCTTGCAAATCTCCAACAAATCCTCACGGTTGTACGCGATTCCGCCGCCGGTGCCACCGAGGGTGAACGCCGGCCGCACGATGAGCGGGTACTCTCCGATTTCGTTGGCGATGCTGAGGCAATCGTCGAGCGTGGTGCCAATGCCGGATGGAGGGGTCTTAATTCCGATGTTCTTCATGGCCTGTTTGAAGAGCTCTCTATCCTCAGCCTTCTTGATTGCCTCGAGCTTCGCGCCGATGAGTTCAACGCCGTATTTCTCGAGCGCGCCGCTCTCCGAGAGGGCCACGGCAAGGTTGAGAGCGGTCTGGCCGCCCATGGTGGGGAGGAGCGCGTCGGGGCGCTCGGACTCGAGAACTCTCTCGACGAGCTCCGGCGTCATGGGAGTGATGTAGGTGCGGTCGGCGGTTTCAGGATCAGTCATGATTGTGGCAGGATTGGAGTTTATGAGAACCACTTCGTACCCTTCTTCGCGCAAGGCTTTACACGCTTGGGTCCCGGAGTAGTCGAACTCGCACGCTTGGCCGATTACGATGGGACCAGCACCGAGAATTAGGATCTTCTTGATATCGGTTCGCTTCCCGACTTTGGAGGCGGGTTCCGCAACGGCGACGTTTGAGCATCGAACCGGAAGCGTTGGTTTGACGCGGGATGAGGGGCATGCGCGTAGGGTTTTGGGAACGGCGTGGTTTTGGGGCAGTGGTTTCGGCGATGGGATGAGAGCGGAGGAACGCGACGGGGAGTGTGGCAGAGAAGGGAGGAGCGGAAGCTTGGGGAAATGGGATATGCAATAGGCCATTGGCATTGTGGAAGAAGAAACTGAAACTGTAACTGTAACGGTAACTGAGTCTGTTTAGGGTTTCAGTGTCCTTTTAATGGGTGGAAGATGCTCCTCCGTCCCCGTCACCTTTCTCAAATGGCTCTGTAGGGTTCGCCCCCAATACAAAAGGAGAATCACATCAATATATTATATATTTTTTTTCTTTTTTTGTTTTGTAGCTCTACTTGTTCATCTTGCCCAACTAAAAGTAAATGCAGCTTCGTCTTTTACTGTTATTCTATACTCTTTTACACTTTTTAAAACTATATTTTATATATAAATAATTTTTATAAATAAAACTAAGAAGTTACAATAATTATTTATATATAATTTTTACAAATATAAATAAGAAGTTACAATAATTTTAGAATCTGATTTATGATGTTAAAATTTGAGTAATCATTGTTTTAAACTATATTAATTTTAATATTTTTAAATAAAATTAAATATATTTTAAGTTTAAAAATTTTAACACAAGATTAAAATCCATTCATATTTTAAATTTTAATATTCAAAATTTTAGAAAAATATAAAATTATTTTAATTTGATAATATTTTTTTATTTTGTTATAAACCAATGTTTAAGTTATTTATTTTTCCGACATATTTCAACTCCAATATTAGTTTAAAAAATTATTTAATAAATTTAAAATAAGTTAAAATAATTATATCATTTGATTTTTAAAATTTAAACACTAAAATATACAAGAATTTAAAATAAAATAAAAATTAATTTCGTATCTAAATTGGAGATTATAAATATATTTAACGTTTTTAAATATGTTAAAATAACCTTTTTCTATTCAAAGCTAACTACTTATTTTATTGAGATTGGACATGTAGTTTCATATAGTTTAACAAAAATAATATTGAATTTGGACAGGAAAAAGAAAAGAATTTTGAAGTATCCTAAATAATTTTCCTATGATTACTCCAGCAGTAGTGTAGAAAAAATTAAGTCAAAGATGCAAATCACATTTTTGTCAAATGTTTGAATTTTGAAGTGTTTCCTCCCATAATTACTCTTTCTCACGTGATCTGTTCTATTAAGTCTGATTTTGTGATGGTGGTTATATAAAATTACAGCTACACAAAATTTGGATTTGATGATTGGTGAATTCATGTGATTTGATTGAATGTTTATTTTTGTAAATTATTAATATTTGTCTGAAAAACATATATTACTGTTTAGGACCACCTGTCTCTTTTATGCATTGTTTGTATATGCAGTGTTCGAACTAGAATTACAAATATAAAAAACGGGTATCATAAAATTACAAATATAAAAAACGGGTATCATAAAATTACAAGTATAAAAAGGTTTAGGAATTTTCCAAATATTACAAAAATGTTGAGTAATGATTTATTTGAAAGAGGGTAATGGTGAAATGTCATAGCAATCATTGCAGGTTGTATAACATACATTAAGGTAATGCAGGTGAAAAACCTTTTGTGAAATATCACCAAACAAAGATTGATAATCTGACTTCGTGCGACATTTTTATTACATAATTATTTTTCTTTTGTATAATTCATAAAGATATATATGTTGGAATATCTCAAGTAATCCTTTGTTGATATTTTAAATTTTGGAATATTAAATAATGGTTAAACTTCAAGTATCGTTAATTTAGTTCTTAAAAATAAAAAATTGATCCAATTAGACTTCTATTGTTAAATTAGTTTAACAAAATTAAGTTTTTGATAACCTTAAACATTGGCGTGAACAATTTTTTATACTTGGTATAAGCATGTTGTTACCTGAAATTCCTAAGTTTAACGTGAAAAATGTTTGATTAAAAAATTAAAAAAAAATCATCTTCATTTACAATGAAGCACCACTCAGAAATCTTCTTCCATGTCTATCACCCAGAAATCTTCTTCCCTGTGCATCAAACCTGTGAGAAAAAATTCAAAAATCAATTCCAAATTACATTTGAATCGGGCCTCACATAAACCTGTAGAGAAATCTCAAATTTCACAACCTGAAGAACCCTAGACGCAAACCATACTCTGCCGCCTCTTCTTCCAATCCCATACTCTGTATCTTCTTCAATAATATTCTCCAATACCCTAGACAAGGAGTCCCAGCAACTTCTGCATACTTCGAATACTTCATGGATTGCAAAAACAAAATATGACATACCTCTGCCTAAACTTTGATTATCATTTGAAATGTTTCAGAAACAGAAAGCAAAATTGAAATGAAAAAAGGTTATCAAGATTGATTCACCTCGGCGGGAGAAATATAATCGATCAAGAAGTTTATCTTGAGAACTGGCCTTATAACAGCAATTCCACCAATCAACTTTGAAACGTGGAAGTTGTGTTACAAGTTACTGTCTTTCGCTGAAGATGCAAGCTTGTTGAACTCTCCTCCTGTGCAGCAACTGAGCCAAAATATGAGCCACACGAAACTCTTGAACCCTCATTTGCAGCATCGCGTCAGCAGTACAATGAAATTGATTAGAAATTAGCGGGGAAAGTTAATCCTGATAGGCAATCTGTGATAAATAGACCTTGCTTCTAAGTGATCCGTTCATCTAATTCTTTACTTAGAACTTTGATGCTTTACGTGTTCATAAACTTAGTTGTCCCAATTCGGATACAAATATATTTCGATTTCTACAAACTGCTTAAAATTATTTTTTTTAATGGTTTTTCTTCAAGTTAATCTTTTAAAATTTTGATCGGCAAGGATGAAAAGGAGAGTGGAGGGGGAGGTTTGGGTTGGATGGAGGAGCGGGGAAAGGTTTAGAACAAGTGGAGTGGATCTCTGCCTTCGTTGAATTTAGGGTTGTTGGATTGGGAATGAGATCGAAAGATGGTTTAGGGATCCATAACTTCAAGTACACTAGCCAAACCGGGCTTCACTCCCTTCTACAGAACCTGCAGGCCCAATCAACCCTGATAGAGGAGGTCATTGTCGGCGCCTATCATTAGATTGGTAAGGTTGAAGACGATGAACCTTGGGTTTCAATTCTCAAATTTTTTTTAATTATATATTCCATGTATAAAGCTCTCTTAGTGTCACGTTTAAAAAAATTGTCCATGTCAACGTTCCAGGTCATAAAAAAACTTAGAGTGATGCTCCCTCCACCACTCCCATCTTCTCCCCACACCTCCCCAATTTTTTTTAAATTCTAAATTTATCCTTTTTACTTTTACCAATTTTACTTTTTATTTTTTAAAACCTCAATTTTAATCCCTTCTCACTTTTATTTTTTCTTTCATTCTCAACAGCAAGCCTCCACCTCCCACTGTCACTAAAACAAACAAAATTTGACAGAAAAAACAAATTTTTCATGGTATAAATTTAAAATACTTATAACTTCTGATGAGTTTTAAAGTATCATGATTCCATAATATAATCTCCTAAAAATTTCTTCCCCACTTCCTTGTCTTTAAATAACCAAACTTGAAAATTTATGCTTAAAATTACATATGTGCTTACAATGGTGCAATGAAAGAGAAGTGTGTTTGTTGAGTACAAAATAAAAAGTGAATAAAAAAATAGTTAGTTCAGTTTATCACTAGGTGTTCGGTGAATTTCGTGAAATTTAAAAGGAAATGAAAAATGTTGTATTAATGAAAGTGAAAATTAAGAGAAAGAGAGAAAGTAACAGTGGAGGGTGGAGACTTGCTGCTGAGAGTGAAGAGGAAAGTGAAAGTGAGAGGGAATTGAGATTAGGGTTTTAAACGACATAAATCCAATTGAGTCAATGACGAAACCGATAAAACATGATCTAACTGAAAAAAAAAAAACCACATAAATAGGAGATTTCTGAAGGGATTTAACCTTAAATAATTCAATTTTAAAAAACACTGGTAACGTAATTATCATTAATTTAGTTACTATTCTAAAATATTATTCATATGCTAGATCAATATTCTTTTATTAATAATGATTGAGATTCTCTTCTCAGTATTCTTTGATACAAAACACACATACACACAGTTTAAACAAATTACAAAATGTAAGGGAGGTAAAAGACAACAATTACATAAAAGGTACATAAAAGGTTTAAGGAAAGAACAGCAAATCAGTGACATTAGGGTCGTAACTTGATGATCTTTGTTTCACCGCAGGGTTGGCAGTTATCTATTCTTCGGTTGTTCTTGTAGGCTGCATAAGCAACTATGTAAAGAAGGAAAAGGAAAAGTAACACAACGATATTGACTACAGAGACCCTCCTCCAAGTTTTCTTCAGTGTAGCCAGCACACCAGCTTTGCATGAGTCACAGTCGTAGCAAAGCAAGCTTTGCTCATTGCTCCACTTTCTGCAATCTGTGTTGTTGCTTCCCACAGCTCCTTCTGAGCTCCACACTGTCTGGTTCTCATACCTGTAACCACACTCTGTCGGGGGCTTGCAGCATCCAGACTTCAATCAAACACAAAATCATCAATCGAAATACATGAAATTAGATTTTAATTTATAATTAAATAAAAAACATTATATAAAAATGAAAAATTCATTGTTTTAAAGTTTTAAATAAAAAGTGAACGTTGAACTTAAATGTTATCATTGTTAATTTTATTTTTAATTAATTTAAAACTTTTAATAAATATATATTTTTTAAATAAAAAAATTGTTTAATTATTTTTAACGTAGAAAAAAATGAATTGGTAAAAAGAAAATTAAATGATAGAATGATTAATATCCCAAAAATTGGCGTGACTTTATCTACCAATTAAAGCAAGAAAGAGAATGGCGAGATGATATGGTAGGAAATTTGTCAATTCATTCTAAAAGTTAGAAATTCGAAGGTGGCCCACGGCCCAAGAGCCCAACTCAAACAAGACAGGCTTCATTTTCCAGTTGAGATAAAATGTTACATGCTTCAAATAAACAATGGAAAAAAGTAATCTTCTAAATTTCATATTTCTTAAATCCGATGAATCTAAGAGTCTGGTCAAGTTCAAACTTCAAGAACGTCAAATGAATTAGAATTTTAATTCAACGTGTTGAAGAAGGTAGTTACTGATAATATAGACTGGTTCAAAGTATATACGAAAAGTTAATCTTTATTTAAGGTGTTTTTATGTGGTATTTAAAAATATCGGTGGATGACAGTTTACTTAATCTTCCGAAGTGACGCCCAATATGAATTAATCTTTAATCATGTTGTACTTTTTTATTTA